AGGGATCCCAAGGGACAGCGCTAACTCAAAAAGACTAAAACTGAACGCACAGAGCCTATTGCCTTGCAAAACTTTCAGAGCATCACCAGGCGACAATCCAGGGAGGCCCTGAGGGTGCGAGCTGCTTCTGAGCGGAGGGGGGCCATTTGGTCGGTTGCGCGCGAGCGACATCGACTGACAAGGCGTGCCCAACCACACAGCTGCCACAAGGCCTGACCGAAGCCATCCGCGAACAAGCTGCTGAACTCGGCGCTGCAGAAGGTCTGAAGCCGGGTCATGCTTGAGGTCCAGCTCAAAGGCGGCCAGGCGGCCGCGGGAGACTCGCCGCCACGCCAGAGAGAGGCGCCCTGACCCGCTGAACACTTCTAGGAACACGGGTTGACCGGCGTCCTCTACAGACCGAGCCAGGTTTTGGAGAGGCGCCCGCCAATGGTGTCGACCAGGCGTGTGGCGCGGCGCTGCTCGGAGATCGGAAGCCGTCGCATCTGCTCTGCCACGCGGCCCCCTTTGGTGTAGCGCCGTAGGGGCGAGTCCGACACCCACCTCCCCCTCTTTTTGATCTCGTCGAGGCTTCTGAACTTTGCGAGGTACTCGTGGGAGGCCCCCCCGTGTCGGAGGGTGTAGAGCGTCGGCGGCCCCAGGACGCCGAGGTGCAGCGCTGTCGCAGCACGCCTGAAGACCAGGGCCCACTGGTTGTAGCTCATGTCGAAGACGCGGCCGCCTGGCGCGGCTCGGGCCCGCAGCGCCTGCAGCAGCGGTGGCAGCCAGGTGAACTCCGGGCTGTCCAGAAGGAGGCCCTCGTCGTAGACTCCCGTCTTCGAGGGCTGAGCGCACTCCATCGGATGCAGGACCACCGACCAGAAGTTCAGGAAGGTGCGCCCCGGAGGGGCGCCCTCGGCAGGCGGGATCACCTGCTCGCGCGTCAGGCTGAGCAGCTCTGCCGGCCGAAGGTACAGCGCGAAGCAGACCGCCGTCGCCGCCGCCGCTGTCGTCTCGCCTGCATCCAGCATCCAGTCGATCATCAGGCAGGCAATCGGCCAGGGCAGCGGCAGCCGGGATCGTGGCGGTACCAGCCGGGCCCAGCCCTTCGCAGCACGAGCGGCCCTCGGGAAGGCCACCTGCAGCCGGCCGGGCGCCGCGCGGCAATGAGCCAGTGCCGCCATGTACTTCGTCGCCTCCTCGCTCGGGTAGCCGTCGAAGAACAGCTGGTTGAAGAAGGTCACCAGTGCGACGTCCAGCTCGGGCACCTCCCCGATCGGCAGCCGGACCGAGGACGCCCACCCCGTGAACTTCGAGACCCTGTCGGCATAGTCCCGGCGGGTCGCCTCCCCCACGGCCTGCGTCTCCAGGAAGGTCAGCGAGCCCGAGGTCGCCGCCGTGTTGGCGGCGGGGAAGGCGCGCCTCCTGGCAACTCGGCGGTCCGCCTGATCCCCCCAGGACAGCGCAGCTGCGCTCTGGGAGCGGCTCTGGCGCCCAAGGTGGGCGGGCGCTGGGGCTGCTGGAGCCGCCGCGGGCCGCCTGCGAAGGACGCCCGACGGGCTGGCAGCAGACGCTCCCTGGGGCGACGACCGCTGGAGCATACCACGCCTCGGGCCTAGCACCAGGCCGGTTCCGTGATGCTGGGTCGGCAGAGTTGAACTCGGACGGCAGCCACCTCCAGTACGCCGCCGAGTCTGAGGCCAGCAGCAGACATGCCACCTGCCGGCAGACGGCGAGGAGGGCGGGCGCCGAAGACCGCCCCTTTGCCAGAGCCAAGATGGGAGCCATGGCATCATTCAGCATTACGTGGGCCTTCCGAAAGGACCTCTTGGAGCGAAGCTTGTGCTTAAGCGCCATCACGCCGGACCTGGCCTCCAGGATGACCTGAGGGGCTGGGCGCCGCCAGGGCACCGAGAGGACCGGGTGCCAGTGGTCCCTCCAGATGTCGGGCGGGACCTCCTCGAAGCTAGGGTCCACGTCGGAGACTTCGGGCCCGTCCGGGACGGTTCCTGAGGAGCCTTGACCAGGGACAGCAGCGGCTCGGGGCCCAAGACGTTGGCGCTCAGCTTCCCGAGAGAACCTCCAACGCTCGTTGTACCGGGCCAGACGCTTGACCGAGTCCTCAGAGACCTCCCGCTGGGTCACTCCAAATCCCCAAGACGACGCATCCAGGCACGTGAGGGTGGTGTCGAAGGGCAACCCGAGGTCCCTGCTGCAGAAGATGAGGAGAGCCCGAGCCCAGCGTAGTTCACGACGGACGACGGGCCAGAGCTTAGCGGTGCGATTGTGGTATACCTCCCCAAACTTGTAGACGGCCCCCAGGCACGAGAGGAGCTCCCTCCTAATGAGCACCCTGGACGTGATGTGCGAGACGATCCTCACCATCTCCTTTCCAGAACAGAACCCACGTCGGAGGACCTCCTGAATCCCAAGGTACAGCTTCCACCTAAGCCTGGGGTTGAGCGAGATCACGGGCGAGTTCGAGTCGAAGGACCAGCCAAGAGTCTCCCCGCCCACTCCGCTCTCCACCCCGTGAGTAGGCAGCCCCACAGCACGCATATGATGATCGACCTGACGGGCAGCAGCAATAGCAGAGGCCTCCGATAGCGACAGCGCAACGAAGTTGTCGACGTATTCGGTATGAACAACGCCCGAGTCGACGACAGGGGCAGGCAGGCGATCCACCAGGACACGCTCCGGCCTGACGAGGCCAGCACGCCGCGAGACAATCTCATTCACTGACTGGCGCAACCAAAGACTGAGACTGAATCCCATCGGAGGACACCTGAAGCACGGATAGACCCACTGCGTAGGCGCCACGGGCCTTCCATTCGCATCGGCCGAGATCCCCAGTTCACCAGCTCTGATCTTAGGGAGTCCGAAGTACCGACGAAGCCAAGGTGGGAGCAACATGGTATAGAAGGCATCCGCGATGTCCACACCAGCGACACACACAGGCTCCCGACTGTCAACCCGGAGCTGAGAGAACGCGGCCCCAGTTGCCAGCTTCACTTTGGGGGGCTCGTCGAACAACTGGGACGGGATCCGGCCATCCAGTATGAGCCTCAGGGCCCCTGATTTCTTATAGACGAAGAACATTCCCACTGAGCTCAACGCATCGGTATGGAACTCAACGAGGTGCGATGACACAAGACGGTGCAATACTTTCTTATATAAGCGAGGGTTCCTCAAGTTGGGATCCGAATACGCCCTCTTCGGAGCGTGCTCCGCGACCCGGGCAAGCCCCCGCTCACGGGGCAAAAGTAGTTCTTGAAGGCGGTGACCAATACTCATGCTGTCATCCCCGATGAGTGCGGACAAGGACTTCGGTTCGGAGCCCACGCTCGGCAGGGAGATCAGATCGACGCGGTCGAAGGTCACCGGCGCAATCACGGCAGACTCCTGGTCGTATGACTGCGCAACGCGGAGCTCCTCGAGGGCTCCTGCGGGAGTGAGGTCGGGCGGGGGCACTCCGAAGGCGTCGACGGCCTCCTGGATCACCGCCAGAGCCTCCTGCTGGGCGGTCGCAGGGCCAGTGAGGCCGGTAGGCCGCGGACAGCTCGAACCAGTGTACATCTCATTCATGGCGCGGATGGCGTCGACGACCATCTCGCGGCGGTGACTGGTCCTGTGGAGTCGCCTCTTAGTTGTGCGAGAGAGGTCTGTAGCCACAAAACTGCGCTCACCACAGGCGGGCACAGGGAGCGGAAAAAGATCCCGACGCCGTCGCTGACGAGCTGGCTGGGCCTCATGTACATCTGCAGCGCGGGAGGCCATATCCGCGAAGCCCCCTCGAGAGTCGCTGAAGGCGGTCGGGGAGTCCGCCTCCAGGCCCCGCTCCATCATGGAGCCAGAGCGCGGCGCTCTTCCTTAGCCTTCCTGATCTGCTTAAGGATTCCAGCGTCGCGCTCCACTTGTTTGGCCACGTGCTCCAGTAGTGCCGGAGCCACCATCATGCGGCCGTCCTCGCGGGCCGCGCCCGTGAAGACCCCCACCTCATCCACAAAACCGAACTTCAAGAAGCCACCGCCGCCCCGGCTCTTGGGCTTGCCCTTTGCCTTCGCCTTGGGCTCGCCTTCGGCCGAAACAGCAGTTGAGACGCCCGAGTCGCGCGCCTCGTATTCCATAGCGTACGTGTACTCGTACAGCTGCGCCTGCCGCAGCATGACCTCGACGCCCACCACATTGGGCAAGTCGAGGAGGTCCCACGTCATCAGATAGTCGACCATCCGCATGATGGACTCGTAGTGCGTCACCCCGAAGTCATCGCGGGACAGCCGGTAGTAGGACACGAACTGGTGGAAGTGCTCGATGGCCCCTCCGCGCTTCCTGTCCAAGAAGCGGAGGCACCATAGCGTGGTCCTTGGGCCGTCCAGCGGCCAGTCGGGGAAGGGCTCCTCGCGGAGCCTGTCGACACTCTCGTGGAACTGCACGCGCTGCCGCGAGCCGTCACTGAGCAGGGCCACAGGCTGGAGGCGGGCATCAGCGAGGGCCTCGGCGCCTCGGTAGGCGGCCTGCGAGGTCGTGATCAGCCGGATGGCCGACCAGCTCCCGCCAGCGTCCTGCTTCAGGCCGATAGCCCCCCGGACGAGCTCCGCCCCGTCCATCGTGACAGGGTCCCCGCGCCGGGCCGTCGTCGTGGTCTCGACGTAGACCCACTGTCCGTCAGCCCCAGGCACGGCATTCGGCCCCAAGGGGCCTGCGGGAGCCCCAGCAGCGGCGAGCGGTGCGGCTGCAGCCGCAACTGGGGCGGCACCAGCAGGCGGTCCAGCCGCGGGCGCGGCGGGGCCAGCCGTCACCACAGCCAGCGCGGCGGCCACAGCCGCCCCTCCCCCGGCGGCAGGGGCGGCGGGAGCGGGCCCAGGCGCGACCGCGCCACCAGCGGCGGCCGCGAACGTGAAGTAGACGGCAGCGCCCGCCGGAGGCACCACCCCGGGCCGCCCGGCCGCACGCTCCGCGTCGAGGAACACGTCGCGGGCGTAGGCGTCCACCTCGTTCCTGATGGCCACCTCCTCGGCCGCCGTCAGCGCGCGCCGGAAGCGGTAGAGGTTCCCAACCTCCAGGCCAGCTGGGCGGGTGCGCCGGTCGTCCTCGAAGCGAACCGCAGCCAAAGTCCCATCAGACATGTCGTACAGCTCTTCGTATACGTCGCCATCCGGCGTCGAGATCAGCACCCGCAGGGGGGACCAGCGGGCATCAGTCGGATCCTGAATCACCCGGCCCCACACGCGCCGCTGATGCCACAGCGGCGCGCCGGCGTACTGCGCCCACGCCCACCGTCGCACCCCCGGCGGCGCCTGCTCCTGCGCCATCCTTCAGGGCGGCGGGCGTCGGAGCTGGCCGCAGCCTCACCACGGCCGAGCCGACCTGCCTCACCACGTGGAAGCTGAGGACCAACAGGTTGACGGCGACCAGGAAGCAGGCCAGCCACCCGCCCGTCCAGGAGAGGCCCTCAGGCTCCTGGGCGACCGGCTGGGGCGCGGGCGCGGGTGCCGGCGCCTCTGGAGCCGCCGGGCAGGCGGCCGGCGGGTGGAAGTGGATCGGCGCCGCCGCTGGGCAGGCTGGGCACGCCGGCGGCTGCGGGCAGGCGGGGCACGCCGGGCAGCGGGCCGACCAGCTCACGACCGTCTGCGAGACGGTGCCGACGAGCCAGTCCAGGTACCGCTGGCCAAACAGCCAGGCCATGGGAAGCGGGGGATGCGTCTCCCGGCGCGGCCGCGCCGGTGTCAGCTTGAGCACAATCGGTAGCGGGCGTGCTGTGACGCGCGGCCCCCTGTCCTCAAGGCACTCTCAGAAAAGATTCACATGCACGCATTGCCATATATATATGTATGTACATATATATATATGTATATATATGCATAAATATTAGAGAGCACACAGACATGCTGGAACCTTGGAAGGGAGCCCCCACAAAAACATTGCATGAGCGCCTCTAGAGAGACAAAGGGGGAGTGCTCCACCCCCTGGACACAGACCTCCCTAACCAGGGGGGGCCTCCCACCCCCGCTGAGCTGCAAAGGGAGGGAAGTTCGAAGGGGGGGGGGTTCGAACAGGGGGGGCCCTCCTAAAGTTCAAGGCGGGGGGTGGTTCGAATTCAAGGGGGGGCCTCTCCAACCTGAGCTGCAAGACAGGAGGGGGTCGAACAGAGCCCCCCCCCGTCCTGAGCGTGTCGACGTCGTCGTCAAACGCCGTCGCCGTCGCCGCCGTGGCCGTGGGGCCGTCGCCGTAGCCGTCGCCGTCGCCGCCGTTGTCGTCGTCGTCGGTTCTGACCGACGGCTCTGGCGCCAGACCGCGCGCTCGCCGTCGTCGGTTCTGGGGGGGGGGGCGTCGGTTCGAACACCCCCCAAGAAACTCAGGGGTTGGACCTGTGCGCGTGATCGTTGTCGTCGCCGTCGCCGTCGCCGTTGCCGTCGCCGTCGCCGTCACCGTCGCTGTCGTCGTCCCCGTCACCGTCGCCGTCGCCGTCGCCGTCGCCGTCGCCGTCGCCGTTGCCGTCGCCGTCGCAGTCGCCGTCGCCGTTGTCGTCGCCGTCGCTGTTCCCGTCGCCGTCGCCGTCAACGTCGGCGCTGGCGCCGGTGCAAGCGTCAGCGCCGGCTTTGTCGTCAACGTCGTCAACATCGCCGTCGTCGACGTCGCCGGCGCCAGCGCCGGTGCCGTGCTGCTCGTCGTCGTCGTCGTCGCCGGCGTCGTGGTGGTCGTCGTCGTCGTCGTTGTCGTCGCTGGCCGACGGCGCCAGCGCTGGCGAACCTGGGGGCCCCCTCTCCCTGCAACTCAATGGGGGGCCTCCGGGCTCAGCCCTCCCCGCATTGCAAATCAAATCAGCGGGGGGCCCCCCTCGGTTAGAGATCCCCCTCCCCCATCTAGGGGGGGTGGAGGGGGGGGGGGCACCCTCCTCGTTAGAACCCCCCCTTGCATCTGAGGAGGGGGCCACCCTCCCGGTTCAAGCCCCCCCCCGTCCCAGCGTCCACAGGACGAGCTCTTCCCAATGTATCTATCCGCTGGCCCTTTGTGGGTCATCAGGCGTGTGCGAATGCTCCCCCCCGTGATCCCCCCCGGGACCACAAGCAGGCAATTCGACCCCAACCCCGTGCCCACGAACTCACCATAGGGGGATAGAGGGTTTCAAAACAAGCCAAGAGGACCCTAAGAGGCTCCCAAGACGCTCCAAGAGGGTTCCGAGCTACCGACAAATCGTTCCAAGGCGCCCAAGATAGCCTCCATACGGCCCAAGGTGCGTCCAAGACGACCCAAGAGGCCTCCAAGAGGCCTCGCAAGAGGCCCGAGCCTCCCAGGAGGCCCCCAAGAGGCTCCAGCAGGCCCCAGGATGCCCCACAGAGGCCCCCGGGCAGTCCGAAGAAGCTCCGAGGCCACAAAGAGACCCCAAACTTGCGCCTCCATGAGCCCCCGATTCCGCTCCGAACAGACCCCAAAAAGACCCCTCAGGACTCTGAGCGCGAACTGACTGATAGAACTCCCGCAAAATGATTTCTGATGCCGCCAGCAGGCGCCCTGATAGCCCTGATGAGACCCACAGAGGCCCCGAAATGGTGCCCAACTGTCATGCAAGCACGGGCACGGCTGCGCCCCCCCAGCCCGATCCAAGTGAATATCGAAGCGCACGACGACTCAATGGGGTCGGCGGATGTGGCGCAAGCCTGTAGAATACACGTCCGGAAGTGACGTGTTGCCGGAGGCAGGTCGCGCAGCGGAGCGGAAGCCCTAATGCAATGGATCCCATGTGTCCAATGCTTGCATAATTGCCACGTGTTGTATTGTGTTGTATTATTATGTTTCCCCCCACCCCCCCCCGGAGTCGCGCCACTTCCGTCGACCCCAAGGTGGAGGGCCCCTTGTGGGGCCCAAAAACATACAAAAACCTATAAGAAATCCGCCGACCCCTTGGGGTTCATCGGCGTGTGAGATGTTCCCCCTCCCCAAACCCCTCCCCCGGGAGCCCGGTCCGGTCGATTTGGAGGGGGGGGGGGGGGGTCGGGCCGGATCCCCCGGATGGGAACGGAGGGGTCATCCGCTCCCGAAAATCGTGCAAAACCTCATGAAAATCGTGCACGGACTCCTCTGGGGGGGGTCGGGCCGGATCCCCCGGATGGGAACGGAGGGGTCATCCGCTCCAGAAAATCGTGCAAAACCTTGTGAAAATCGTGCAGGGACTCCTCTGGTGGCCTCGACATGGCTCTGGGACGCCCAACGAGCGCTCCAAGCCGCTCAAGGTGGCCCAAAGACGGGCCACGAGGCGTCCTCGACGGCAGAAGAGGCCCCCACGAGCCCCCCCGAGGGCCTCCGAGATGCGTTCCACGAGGGTCTCTAGATGCAAAAATTGGCCCACTCCCTTCGTGAAACGTAAAATTTTCACAAATTTGGCTTTGGGCATTTTCCGATGCTCCCCGACGGCCCAAGAGGCCCCCAAACCCGGTCCCAGACGGCCCCAGGAGCCTCGCAGAGGGTGCCCCACATACCCCTCGAGGGCCCCAAGACGGGCCAACAGGCCCAAGAGGGCTCCGAAAACGGCCCCAAGAGCGCTCCAGGAGCGTTCCGAGTGGCCTCCACAAAGCTCCACACGGTCCCGCCGACCCCTTGGGGTTCATCGGCGTGTGAGATGTTCCCCCTCCCCAAACCCCTCCCCCAGGAGCCCGGTCCGGTCGATTTGGAGGGGGGGGGGGGTCGGGCCGGATCCCCCGGATGGGAACGGAAGGGTCATCCGCTCCCGAAAATCGTGCAAAACCTTGTGAAAATCGTCCTCTGGTGGCCTCGACATGGCTCTGGGACGCCCAACGAGCGCTCCAAGCCGCCCAAGGTAGCCCAAAGACGGGCCACGAGGCGTCCTCGACGGCAGAAGAAGCCCCCACGAGCCCCCCCGAGGGCCTCCGAGATGCGTTCCACGAGGGTCTCTAGATGCAAAAATTGGCCCACTCCCTTCGTGAAGCGTACAATTTTCACAAATTTTGCTTTGGGCATTTTCCGATGCTCCCCGACGGCCCAAGAGACCCCCAAACCCGCTCCCAGACGGCCCCAGGAGCCTCGCAGAGGGTGCCCCACATGCCCTCGAGGGCCCCAAGACGGGCCAACAGGCCCAAGAGGGCTCCGAAAACGGCCCCAAGAGCGCTCCAGGAGCGTTCCGAGTGGCCTCCGCAAAGCTCCACACGGTCCCGCCGACCCCTTGGGGTTCATCGGCGTGTGAGATGTTCCCCCTCCCCAAACCCCTCCCCCAGGAGCCCGGTCCGGTCGATTTGGAGGGGGGGGGGGGTCGGGCCGGATCCCCCGGATGGGAACGGAAGGGTCATCCGCTCCCGAAAATCGTGCAAAACCTCGTGAACATCGTGCATGGACTCCTCTGGTGGCCTCGACATGGCTCTGGGACGCCCAACGAGCGCTCCAAGCCGCCCAAGGTGGCCCAAAGACGGGCCACGAGGCGTCCTCGACGGCAGAAGAGGCCCCCACGAGCCCCCCGAGGGCCTCCGAGATGCGTTCCACGAGGGTCTCTAGATGCAAAAATTGGCCCACCCCCTTCGTGAAACGTACATGTTTCACAAATTCGGCTTTGGGCCTTTCCGATGCTCCCCGACGGCCCAACAGGCCCCCAAACCCGCTCCCAGACGGCCCCAGGAGCCTCGCAGAGGGTTCCCCACATACCCCTCGAGGGCCCCAAGACAGGCCAACAGGCCCAAGAGGGCTCAGAAAACGGCCCCAAGAGCGCTCCAGGAGCGTTCCGAGTGGCCTCCACAAAGCTCCACACGGTCCCAGACGGTCCAAGAGCGATCACAAACATCGACGACGGCCTCCAGACGGCTACAGAGGCCCCCAAGACGGCCCAAGAGGCATCCAAGATTCGCCCCGAGAGTCGCTCTAGACGCAAAAAATCGCTCGTTCCTTTCGTAAAACACATATGTTACACGCGTGCGCCTTTTGGGGTGCCCCCCGCTCCTGGGCGGCCCCAGAGCCCCCCAAACCTGCTCCCAGACGGCCCAAGACACCTCCAAGAGGGTTCCCCATATAGCCCTAGAGGGCCCCAAGACGGGCCAACAGACGTCCAAGACGGCCCAAAAGGGCTCACAAAACGGCCCCGACAGCGCTCCAGGAGCGCCCCGAGTGGCCTCGAAGAGCTCCACATGGTCCCCGACGGTCCAAGAGCGATCAAAAACACTGACGACGACCTCCAGACGGCTACAGAGGCCCTCAAGACGCCCCAAGAGGCATCCACGATGCGCCACTAGAGGGCCTCAAGACGCACAAAAACGCCCGTTCCCTCCGTAAACCGTATATGTTTTCTCGCACGTGCGTTTTTTGGTGCGTTCCTCGGTCCTGGGCGGCCCCAGAGACCCCCAAGACCGCGCCAAGACGGTCCAAGAAGCCTCCACGAGGGCCCCGCGACAGCCCAAGAGGGCGCCAAAACGGGTCAAGAGGGGCCGAGGACGGCCCAAGAGAGCCCCGAAGACGGCGCGCGCGCGCGACTCTCAGTCAGATTCCTCGCAACTTGCGTTGCTTCCCGCCGTGCTCGTCACTTGCTTCCGCGGGGCGTTTCGGCGGGTCTCTTCGAGGCGCCCGTCCCGCCTTATAGCACTTGGCGCAAACCACCAGATTGCCTCGGTGGAAATAATCCCCCCCCGGTCTTTCGAGAGATGGCCGCCGTCAGTGAACGTTGGCTTTGATCAATCCTTTTCCACGGGACATGCGGAGCATTCCAACTTCTTCGCCATCTGCCTCTGCTCGTGGCACGCTCGGCGCGCCACCGAGCGATGGGCCGAACCCTTCTTGAAGAA